CGTGGAGGTTGCCAACGGCCTTGTCCAGGACCAGCTTGATCGGCTCGCTCGTCCCTGCCTCGTTCAAAGAAGCTGCATCTTCGATGACTGCTGACAGCTCGCTGACGAGCTGCATGTCCTCTTGGCTTGACGGAGATGCTGCCTCCATTGTGATCCTCTCCAGGTCTGTAAACTCCAGCCACTCTCCCTCGCTCTCCTCCTGTCGCTGCGCTGCGTCGCTGGTGCCCCGCTGACCAGCCGCCTCAGAGTCAGGCTCCTTGTCGAAGCCGACTGCTTCGAGCTTGGTTGCTGCGCCTTCGAGATAGAAGGGCAGCTCCTTCATCATGCATCGAGCATCCTCCGTGGAGCCGAGGAGGATGCATAGCTTGGACCCGTTCCAGGACTTGGTGTTCAAATCCTCCTCCATGTCGATGCCTTCAACGTTGATCTCGAGCCTGTTAGCGATCTCCAACAAGACTCTCTTGACTCTTGCGATAGACGTGTTGCCGCCGTTGCACAGCCCCTCCATCTCCTTCCTCGTGAAGCGACCAGATGCCGCCGTCGACTTGATGATGATCTTGATCTCCTTGCCGTCCTTGCCGCCTGCCTTCTTCTGCATCCTTGATGCCTTCTTCAACTTATTTCTGGACACAAAGCGATCAGCTGTCAACTCGACTGCGAGCGCCTCTCTGATCTTCGGGTCCTCGCTGAACAGAGTCAGGTGTACTCCCTCCATCGCTTCGCTCTCTCGGAAAGCTCGAAATGCTGTATCATTCGCCTCTGATGACGTTGGCCCCTACAGCGATGAAGCCTTTCTGACCTAAGCCTTTGTGGACTTGCTGTCCTGGCGCCCCAGCGACCAGCATGCCTGCCAGCGGCTGGAGTTGGACCGCTGCAAGGGACTGGCGCAGCAGCTGATAGCGATAGACGGCAGCTATCTCAGCCGTTGTCATGCCGCCCAAGGTTAGCAGGTGAGTCAGCTCTGCCAAGCTGCCCCCTTTGCCCCAGGGTCCTCTCTTGGCTCGAATCTTGAAAGATCGATCGTGCACGATGCTCACATGTACAGCTGTGAACTTGCGACCATCGATCGCGAAGTCCTCTCTTCCCTGCCAGAGCTTCTCCGCTTGTGCATTGCGGAGGAAGGAAACAGTCACCGGGATCTCCTCAGCACTCGCTATCTCGGGTCTATACGGAGCCTTCCACATGATTGCTTTACTCTCTTGCACTGAGTCTACGATCAGTCCGATCTCTTCAAATTTCTTCTTCAGCTTTTCTTCATGGTTGACATACACCGAGGAGAGGCGCTGCCTGAAATACCCGGCGCTGCCTGAAATACCCGGCGCTGCCTGAATACCCGGCGCTGCCTGAAATACCCGGCGCTGCCTGAAATACCCGGCGCTGCCTGAAATACCCGGCGCTGCCTGAAATACCCGGCGCTGCCTGAAATACCCGGCGCTGCCTGAAATACCCGGCGCTGCCTGAAATACCCGGCGCTGCCTGAAATACCCGGCGCTGCCTGAAATACCCGGCGCTGCCTGAAATACCCGGCGCTGCCTGAAATACCCGGCGCTCCTAAACCCTAAACCCTATTATTATTATTATTTGAGTTTATTAGACTCTTAGTCGAGAAATTTCATAGCCAGGAACTATTGCTCTTTGCTCGTCTCAATGATCCGTCTAAAGGGGTTCCCAACCTTGGGAGGTTGGCCCATAGTCCTATAGGCCCCTTAGGCCTGGTTGCTTCCGTATTAAGTGTTTTCAGTGCCAATGTCCTCCGGGCCTGTTTCAAGTCCGATCCCGGTCCCCCCTCCTGCTTTCGCTAAGTGTCGTTGCGCCAGCAGCCTGCTCCTCCCCCCGCCCATATGTAGTTGCCCACTGTGGTAAGTCTGTACCTTCTCTTGGCCTGGTTAGCCCTTTCCTTCCCTTTTTGCGGCCCCTGACCTTGCGCCGCGCCTGCCTTCTTGTTGCCAGGCTTGTTTTCCTTCCCTTCGTATGTGTTTTCCTTCCCTTCTTATGCTCCCTGTGTGCCTTGCCCCATAGCCGCGCCTTCCCCCCCGGGACCTAGTTGTAGTAGTTGAGTTTATTAGAATGCTAGGAAGGATCTCAACAGGGATCTCGTGACCTGGCAGTTCGGCCCGACTTGGCTGGCCCCTATGGCAGCCGTGCTTCTGCTCTGCTCTCTCCTCCGATGTACTTAGTGGTCTTCTCCAGCCTCAGCCAGTGGAGTTGCCTCCGCCGGCCTTGGCATGGGTCAACCTTGCTTAACTTGTGTTGCTTCGCCGGCCTTAAACCCTAAACCCTAAACCCTAAGCTCCAGCGAGATCGGCTTGCCAGCAAGCAGCTCCTCCTCGGATGTGAAGCTGCTTCCATAGTGATCCTGTCGATGTCGCTTAGCTCCAGCCATTCAGCGCTTTGCTGCTCCTTCCAATTCGTAGGGGATGTCTTCCATCAGGCGTCGAGCCTCTTCCTTGGTCGCCAGCGAGAGAGCTATCTGGCTCCCGTCCCCACTCAGCGTGTCTCGGTCTTCTTCAACCTCCACGCTCGCCAACTTGATGCCTATCCTTCAAGTTGCTAGCTCCAACGCTACTCGCTTGATTCTTGTTGTTGAAGTGTTTCCATCTCCTTCCTCGAGAAGCGACCTGTGCTCATGCTTGACGTCGACTTGATCAGCACTCTGAAGCAGCCTGGCAGCCGCGTTGCCCTGCGGGTCGCTCCATCAGAAGCAATGGAGGCTTTTGCAAACATTCCACGAGATGTCTGTCTGAGCTACAGAGACGCAACTTGGGACCCAGTCAGCCTCAAGCTCTCCTTAACTTCCTGCTGGTCGAGCTTGGAACGAGCGATGCAGAGAGGCGTGTTTCACCCATCAAGGTTCGACCCTGAGGAATATCTGATGAGTTTTCGTACTTGTGCTTGGGATTGCAATCGTGATATTGCATGTTCTCATTTAAACTTCTTGTTTTTGTTCTTGTCCATCCTCTGGGATTTCTCTTTTCCTTTTTCTTTGCATCTGATGCATTGCAATTTGCACTGAAAATATCGTTTCAGCATTATGATAATCATGGTAATGGAAATCTGAACAAGGTTGTCGAAGGGAAGTTTGTTGCTTTCAAGAGCCCGAGAGAGAAGGTTTGAGGACAAACTTTCCTGAAAGGAACACAGAGAGCAATGAATCCTGATGGAACTGTGTCGCACACTCCAGCTGACTACATCAATGTTCTGAAGTCCATGAACGTTGAGTATATCATCCGCTTGAATGGATACAGGTAGTTTTTTGATTGCAACTTCAAGATTTTGCCAGGGAAAATTCGCACCCGATGACAATGTTTTCTGTTTCTGCAGTTACGATCCAAGAGATTTTTTGAATGCTGGTAGTCGTTAGACTATTGTTACCATCATCGTGGTCTGAACATGTTTGCCAGGTTTTCGACATCACGATATCTACTGCAACGCTCGGGCAACGCCGTCCGATGCAACGGTAGACGGGTAGAACACTAACGACTTGATGAAAAAGGAGAAGGATGGAATGATTGCGAGTTTGCAGATTCTTGACCATCTCAGAGTACCCGCGATTTATCAGAAGGAAAGAGGAGGAAGGGAGCGAGGAAGCAAGGGAGCGAGCGAGTGAGCTAGGAGAAGGAGCGAGGAGAAGGAGCGAGTGAGCGAGCGAGGGAGCAAAGGGAGCGAGGGAGCGAGGGGAGCGAGTGAGCGAAGGGAGCGATCTGAGGGAGCGAAGGGAGGGAGCGAAGGGGGCAAGTGAGCGAGTGAGCGAGGGGAGCGAGGGAACGATGGAGCGATGGAGCGATGGAGGGATAGATGAAGCGAGGGAGGGAGGGAGGGAGGGAGGGAGGGAGGCAGGCAGGCAGGCAGGCAGGCAGGCAGGCAGGCAGGCAGGCAGGCAGCGAGCGAGAGAGAGAGAGAGGAGAGGTAGCGAGGAGAGGGAGCATGGAAGCGATCGAGGAAGCGTGGGAGCGAGGGA